GCCCAGATAACACAGGCAAAAACATCTATTTTCCAATCTTTTCCTGAAAGGAGTCTAACTGCTTATCTCACAAGTTATGCCTGAGGATTGAGCTGCTAATTTAAGACTCAATTACAAATCAAAAAAGACATGAAAAGCGATAAGACACAAGTATGAAGGATAATAAGAAACTAGGTATGAAAATTATACAATAAGCTGGATAACAAAGAAGATATAGATAAGTTCCTAGAAACATACAACCTAAAAGAGTGCTGGTAGGAATGTGAATTACAGTCCCATGGAAAACAGGAGGTGGTTATTCAAAAAATTGTAAGAGAACTACAATACAATTCAACAATACACTATTGGGCATATCCACAGGAAATAAAACACCACCATCTCAAAGAACTATACAAACTCTCATGTTCATTGGAGCACTATTCACAAGGGTCAAGGTATGAAAGTCTGCTACTGGATGAACCTGAACAACATTATGGTAAGTGAAATAAGTCATAGAAAGTCAAACACATGCTATCACTTCTATGTGAAATCAAAAAAAGCTCAACTCAAATAGTAGAAAGTTATTCTCAGAAACTATAACGTGGAGGAAATAGGAAAAGGTTAGTAAACGGAGGTGGGCACAAACTTTTAGTTAAGACTATGGGCTGAGGAGCTAATGTTAACATTTTGATTGTGACTATGGTTGATAACACTATACTGTGTGATTGAAATCGATGAATAGGCTATACTTAAATGTTCTCACCAAAAAAAGTGTGGGGGGAAATATATGAGGAAAGCGATGAGTTAACTTATTCAGGAGAGGGGCGATCCTTTTACATGTCACAATGTATATATGTACAGATTACACTGTACACTTTAAATCTCAATTTTACTGGACTTCCACGTGCAAAAAAATAAAACTAGACCACTACCTTTCACCGTGCACAAAAGTCAACTCAAAATGGATAAAAGAACTGGACATAAGATCTGAAACCATAAAATATATAGAAAATATAGGTAAAACATTATAAGACATACATCTCGGAAACATCTTTAAAGACTCATCACCCAAAGCAGTGATAGTGAAGGCAAAGATAAACAGTTGGGATTACATCAAACTGAAAAGCTTCTGTATAGCCAAAGAGACATTAACCAAAACAGACAGACACCCCACTGATTAGGAAAAAATCTTTGCACTCCATTCAGCTGATAAGGGACTGATCACAAAGATATACAAAGAACTCACAGGGGCTCAACAAAAACAAAATAAACAATCCAGTCAAGAAATGGGCAGAAGAACTCAAAAGACATTTCTCCAAAGAGGAAATGCAAATGGCCAACAGGCATATGAAAAAATGTTCAACATCCCTTATCATCAGGGAAATGCAAATCAAAACCACACTGAGATACCACCATACACCAGTAAGAATGGCACACATCAAAAAAACAAGCAACAACAAATGTTGGCAAGGATGTGGTAAAAAAAGAATTCTCCTGCATTGCTGGTGGGAGTGCAAACTGGTCCAACCACTGTGGAAAGCTGTCTGGAGGTTCCTCAATCTACTAAAAATGGAGCTACCATAGGATCCGGCAATTCCACTACTAGGGATCTACCCAAAGGACACAAAAACAGTGATTCAACAGAGCACCTGTACACCTATGTTTATTGCAGCACTATTTACAATAGGTAAAACTAGGAAACAACCCAAATGCCCAAAAATAGATGACTGAATCAAGAAGATGTGGTACATATACACAATAGAATATTATTCAGCGATCAAAAAAGATGAACTCATGCCATTCGCAGCAACGTGGACGGAGCTAGAAGGAAGTATGCTCAGTGAAATAAGCCAGAAGAAAAAAAAAAAACAGCAGATGGTTTCACTTATAACAGGAATATAGGGGAACCAATTAAGATAGCAGTGTAAAAAAAAAAATAATAACAGTATAAAACACAACAAAGCAAAAACAGACAATTATAAACCAGAGACATACTACAGGGGAGGAGGAGGGAGAGGGATCAGAGGGAGGGAGGGAGGAGCACAGGGGACTGGGGTGATGGTGCATGGATGCCTTGGGGAAGGAAATTCTATGGGGACTACACCTGAAGGGGTTGGGGGGAAGCAAATATTGTTTAAAAAAAATTTTTAAATGACAAATGTTAAAATAAAAAAAAGAAAAAAGAAATAAATAAATAAATCTCAATTTTATTTGTCAATTAAACCTCAATAAACCTGAAAAAACTAAAATTTATACAGTAACTTACAAAGGAGAGACAATCTAGTCATAAGCACCTAATGACCCATTCAATAAGTGTTTACCTAATGAAATATTTTTGTCAAACTACTGCTGAGCAAACTCCTTGACTATAATTTCTCCTAAGTTGAAAGGTTAAAAATATTAATGTTTAATCAATTCTGTAACTTGTAGTTCAGAAATTACTGGTGGGTTTATGCACTGATATTATAGTTCTGTCCAGTTTAAACCTATTTAATATGGTCAATCCAAATAAGTCAAAATAACAACTTTTGCTATGGTTTGGTTTGGTTTTTTTACCTCCAAATAGGACCTATTTTTTTACTTATCTTTCCTTACATAAGCTCTTGGCATTCTTTTTCTAATTAATATGCTAAATTCAAAATATGTACATAAACAAGTTATGTAGACCAGAGGCCATATGATTTTCTATAGTCAAATTCCTTGTGACGTCTGTGATGAAAAACAAAATTCAAATACAATAGATCTTCATGTACAATGAACACCCTAAATGGTAGTTCCCAAATTTCAATAATCAGGAATACTTGCCACACTTGTTGGTTAAAGCACAAATCATCGGATCCTGTTCCCAGGGTTCTGAATAAGATGGTCTGAGGGGGAAAAACCAGAGTTTGCATTGTAGGTTCCAAAGCATGCTGGTGGTACAGGTCTGGGAAGCAAGGTGTCAGTGCATAAGAACTTAAAACTCCATAAAATGCTATTGAAAAGTTGCCTTTCCATCTGGCGGCAGCCATCAGGTAAGCCAAAATGGGCACTTACAAGTACATCCAGGAACTATGGAGGAAGAAGTCCAATGTGATGCGCTTTCTTCTCAGGGTGCGCTGCTGGCGGTATTGCCAGCTGTCGGCCCTCCACAGGGCACCCCGCCCCACCCGGCCGGATAAAGCGAGAAGACTGGGATACAAAGCCAAGCAAGGTTATGTCATACATTGGATTTGTGTGCACCGTGGTGGCCACAAACGTCCAGTTCCAAAGGGTGCAACCTATGGCAAGCCTGTCCACCATGGTGTAAATCAGCTGAAGTTTGCTAGAAGCCTTCAATCTGTTGCTGAAGAGCGAGCTGGACACCACTGTGGAGCTCTGAGAGTCCTGAATTCTTACTGGGTTGGTGAAGATTCCACGTACAAATTTTTTGAGGTTATCCTCATCGATCCATTCCATAAAGCTATCAGAAGAAACCCTGACACCCAATGGATCACTAAACCAGTCCACAAGCACAGGGAGATGCGGGGGCTAACATCTGCAGGCCGCAAGAGCCATGGTCTTGGAAAGGGCCACAAGAACCACCACACTATTGGTGGTTCTCGCCGTGCAGCTTGGAGAAGGCGCAATACTCTCCAGCTCCACAGTTACCGCTAATAAGTAATGTTTGTAAAATTCTTACCTAAAAAACAATTTAGGATAGTTAAAAAAAAAAGAAAATTACTACTCTGCTGTGAGAATTATGAGATTATCTTTAAGTTTTTGATTAATATGTAGCTTTCTTCTATCTATTCTTTGGAATATATTTGTTCTTTGTAATATAAGTGTTTATATAAAATGAAAAAATTCTTTCATTAACCTTGGGAAATGTGGTAGATGTGTTCCAGTTCAGCAAGATCAGGCTATAAAATAGGATATTTTAATTTAAAAACTCAAATTAATAATGTCTAGCATCCATATGATTAACAACCAATTGAAGGTGAATACATTTATTCCAAATTCATCTTTGTAAGAAAATACAAAGCACAGCATATTAGTCTTACAATTAAAATTAATTCTAGTCAACATCATCTCATTTTAAAACAATAACTGAGAGTCTATACTGATTCTCAAATTAATGTATGCATAGGATTACCCTATAACTAAAATAGGAGATATTTTAAGTGTCAATATTCATATTGCTTTTATTTCATATTCCTAACTTTTTCATCTATTTCAAACTATTTACTGACTAACATCCCAGGTACTCTAACTTGCCATTGGAAATATGCATATCATTGGAAAGTATGTAGTAAGCCCAATACCTGATATTTAATATCTGTTTAATCAATAAATATGCAAATGAATAGTATCATTTATATTAGTACAAAAAATATTCCTATATCATGTATAAAAACATAGGAAATCCAGTATAATCTAAATATGAAAGAATTATTTTCTATTTAAAGTCACTTGCCTTTAATTCAATTTTAATTAACAAAACATCTAAGCAATTATGCAGACAATTTACCACAGCAGGTCTGAAACTGCTTTGGAAAGACCTGCGTACTGAGCAGCCCTCAGTCAGCATCTGGGACAACTTGACTTTCACAGCATTCCCAGCAGTTATCTAGAAAAGGTCCACTAGTCTCAACCATTTGCATAAACAATATGGTTTAAGCAGCTAAACACCAGTATTCTTTTGAGAATCTGAATTTTTGTATGTGCTAAACAAAGGATATCAAAGAGACCACCTCTCATCAGGACCTTGGACACTGAGTCTCTAATGAGCACCCACCTGCTGCTAGGGGGAAGGTGTATTTTGTTTGCCCCTTCTGGGGAAGAGGGGGACATAAGGAAAATTCATCATGGATTGCTCCAAGTCTCCACCTGTGTCTGTTTCTTGTTTTGAGTTAACCGTGTTTCCTTACTGCTTCACTATGTCAGCCAGGAACACAACTATATGCTGAATCATAGGAGTTTTTCTAGCAAATTTCCAAGGGGAAAGGTAGTCTTGGGGACTCCCAACACAACAGCTTTTTTCCAAAAGCCAATATTCTTACCTGCTGATAAGCCTCATAGATCACATCAAATAGAAAAGCCTGTGGCATTTCACTTGCTCTATATCTGGCACGTTCCAGTGAGTGGTCCAAGCAGCCGTCAGAAGAGGGACTGATGACAGTAGATACAAGAGGTCGAATTGCTCCTGCAGCCTGAAAAACAAATACAATAGAGGCAAATAAATTTCACCTAGACAATATTTAAAGAAAAATTCAAACTCTATCTCAATTTTAAAACATCCTACTCCTTCAAAAAACTACCTTCAAACATTTGAACAAATGTCTATTTGGTTCAAAAATTATTTCCCATCTCATGATATTACAGCTCCCTATACTTAGAGACAGAAGTAACTTCTTTCACTGTAGACTCAAAATCCTTTTCACCAAAGGCCATTGAAGTCAAATACTAAAAAAAGGATGCTAAGACAATTGGGTATTCCTTGAAGATGGAAGGGGACAGACAAACTATTGTAAAAGAATTAAAATGGATTATATATGAATATTTACTAATTAGTGTGCTGTGAACTAATTTAATTTACACATTACATAATTTTTTTCTAATTCAATATTTTTTCTAATTCAATATTATTTTTTTATTTAAATTTTATTTTTATTCCCCATACAATTACAACCCCTTTATTTTGACCCCAAGCCCTCCTTTCCCCGCCCCTAAGCCCCATAGAGTGTCTCTGGTTCACAGCTGTTTGTTGATTTTGATATTTTCTTTCCTATAGTTATTCTTTTTCCTGGTCCCTTATTTAAGTTTTCTAGATTCCTGCTATGCGTAAGACCATCCGGTATTTTTCTTTTTCTTTCTGGCTTATTTTGCTGAGCATGATCCCTTCCAGCGCCATCCATGTTGCTGCAAATTGCATGTGTTTATCTTTTTTGAATGCTGAGTAATATTCCATGGTGTATATGTACCACATCTTCTGGATCCAGTCATCTATTTTTGGGCATTTGGGTTGTTTCCAAAGCTTAGTGCTGTTATAAATAGTGCTGCTATAAACATAGGAGTGCAGGTGCTCTTTGGAATTGATGTTTCTGTGTCCTTTGGGTAAATACCTAGGAGTGGAATTGCTGGATCATATGGAAGCTCTATGTTTAGTAAGTCAAGAAATCTCCACACAGCTCTCCATAGTAGTTGGACCAGTTTGCACTCCCACCAACAGTGCAGAAAAAGGTACACATTACATAATTAAGAAAAAAACTGCATAATATTCCAAAAATGAGACTCAACAGCAACCCAATGTATTCATACCTTGCTCTAATTTCTGAGAAAAGTAGTCCCTTCAAACACAGGCTCACATCAAAGTTTCTTCAGGCAAGATAGCCATTAATTCCAGTTGCTCTAATGAAAGATCTGTCCCTTTAACAGATACATCTAAACTTTATGTAAAGAGATATTTTCCTATCACATAATTTGCCCTTTATCTTTAACAGAGTACCACTGTAATGTGGTAGTGAAGGTCACTGCCAGTCAGCTCCCTCACTGAAGTAGCCTTAAAATAGGAAAGGCAGTTAAACACACCTTATATTGATTGCAAAATGTACTATCTTTATACATAATTGCCACATGAGGATTGTGCAAATGCAGCAAATTTATTCTTAAGAAGACCAACATCCAAGCCAGATAGACAGTTCAGGAACTAATTTACAAAAGCCAAGGTATTTTTTGGTCACCATCTCCAGTAGCTCAAGTAGAAATCTGGAGTCTCGTTATAAAAGCAAAAATGAGGAGACAGAGAGGAAACAGGGAGGGAATGATTACCAAGTAGGATAAAGGAAGATAAGGAGCAAGTTTAACTCCTATCAAAAAAGTTTAAAAGATAAAACAAGCAAGAAACACATGTAACACACACATAGATATACACAGCTCAAAGGAAAAAATCAGATTTCCAGTTTAACTACTTACAGGTCCTCCTGAGATTCTATGTCTGACCATCAAGTAAAGATTATTTAGAAGAGAACATGAGCCATCCAAAATGTCAGCAAGATGAGTTCTCTCCAAGCAAAACAACTATAACTAGTGAAAATTATTAAAAAACCAACCATTTAAAGTCTTTGAAAATTGTCCTAAAGGCATTCAGTAATAAAGAAACATTACTCAAGAAAGTCTTCAATATCTTAGTGGTAAGAACAGAGAGCCTGTGATACTAGAGCCAGGATTAGTTACTTCCTTCATTCCCCACCAAGTTCAATGTGATTGAAGTTTCCTCTGAATAATAAGGGTAAAAAGATAGGGTTCCTACTTCCCATAGCTCACAGAGGCACGGGGAGACTGTCAACAATCACTATTTCCTCAGCTACATATTATAGAGGCTAAATTATAAGCAAGTATATCCAAAAGATTGGAGATCTTTTCTCCATGTAGCTTTCACTCATAGAGCAGAGAATCTGCCTCGTGGTAGACAGAGAATACTGGAGTCCAGATAAACCTGTTGCAGATAACAAACAGGCACTAAGGTTCCATACCAGGAGAGGCAAAAAGAAAAGCCTTCCAATGTTCCCGTACAACACTCTATTCATTAGAAGGGGGTTCACTCTGCTTCCATGCAAAACAAAGGGTCACCAGGGACTCCAAACTGTTAAAGGCAAAATGCATGTTGCCTATATGAGGGGCTCATTGTCAGTTGCACAAATAAAGCAAAGTAATCAAACTCTTGTGTGTCCAAAGACTTTCAATTGGTGGAGAGAATGAGAATAGGGAAGAGAAGGATTTCAATATACAGATTCCCAATCAAACTCCAAAATCACCCATCCCCTCGTGGGTAAATGCCTAGCCAAACAGGCATGGACCAGATCTGAAATGCCAGGAAAAGGAGTCTAAGGTACTTCCTGGCAAAGAAAAAACAAGCAATAGGTAGTGCAGGGGTCAGGTGTCTGGGGGAAAAGATACCTAAAGTTTAAAACATGTCAATCAAACTGGAAAATCAACCAGAGCTCAAGATGGCTGCTGTTGTCTCTGAAGAGCCAGCATAACAAAGCACTAAGACTACAAAGAGTAAAGACCAGGTAGTCTACCCATGTGTCCTCCAATCCTCTCCCATTCCACAAACAATGGCAACCTCCATGCATCCTCCTTCCCAGCATCCCCATATTCAGGAAGTTATATTAACAGCATGCCAGGAGCTGTAATCAGATGTCTGAGGTATGGAGATGAGGGGGGTGAAATCCATAACATCCTGCCCCAATTTCTCCTTGCCAGTTCTGATCCCAGTCACATCAGTCAACCTGCTCTAACAACTCCAAGAGAAATAGGACACTATACCTCTCCACACCTCCAGATCAGTGATACAGTGATTTCCTAGGGTGAGAGAAAAATTCTTAGAACAGAGAGCTATGAAAACTCTCCTCAAAGAAACTCATTTTACCTGGAACAAAATATGAAGTTCAAGCCTAAAAGCATTGTTAAAAGAAATGGAAATTACCATAGTAAGCAATTAAGAGGATGCTGGTAGCCATGAGAGCAAAATAGCCCAGCTAGTTTATCAGGCAAGCAAGGAAAGAGACAGCTAACAGAGAATCAGAACAAAACTTGAGACACTGGCCTGAAAAATCCACCCCAGCAAAGAGGTTAGAACCTAAGTGGATGAAACTATAGAAAAATTTATGCCCTAGGCACTGTTTAAAAAAAAAAAACAAAAACACTAGCAGGTAATGAATGGAGCTTAGTTGCATGTGATAACAGAGATTCACATTACAAGACAGATCAGGGAAAGAAACTAAGAGCCTTGCTAAAACCACTAACATCCCAAAATGACTACAAACACAGCCAAGACTGCACCTCCAAGAAGCGACAGGCTTCACCCTATAGAGCAAAACACCTTCACTGATATAGAACAGAGAAGCCACAAACAAGCCAACTATAAAGCCTGGAAAAGATGAAAGACTATTGGCCTCCCCGGTAGCGCAGCGGTTGAGCGCTGGGTTGCAAAGCTGCACGCAGCCTCCGGTTGGATCCCCGGCTGCTCCCCGGCCACCAGGAGGAGGGTCCCACATGGCGCACAGACCTCTCCTGCTGCCCGCTGCTCCCCTCAGCAGTGTACTTCGGTCCTTCTGCCTGCTCTGCTCCCCGCTCTGGCTCTGGTGAAGTCTCTCACCCTCCCGCGCTTCTGACTGTACCCAGTGTTTGTATAAATAAGTAAATAAATCTTAAAAAAAAAAAAAAAGATGGAAGACTATCAATATCGGTGAAAATAAATTATCTAAAATATTCAATTTTCAACAACAACAAAAAAAGGAAGACATGTTCAAGCAAGAAAGCATTATCTATACCAAAAAAAAAAAAAAAGAAAAAAAACCTGCCTGTGAAAAGGCCCAGATGCCAAACTTTGCAAATGACTTCAAATCAGCTATTGCAAATATGTTTAAAGTAATTAATAAAAGCATGTTTAAACATGTAAATCAAGGTATGATGACAGTATTAACTGCTAATATCAACAATGTTAAAACACAGATGTTAGTTTAAAAACAACTAGAAAATCGAGAGTTGAAAACTAGAATAATCAAAACAAACAAGAGGAAAAGAATCCACAAACTTGAAGTCAGATCAACAGGGATTATGTATGCTTAGAACAAAGAAAAAAACAGAATCACAAAGAAATGTGCCATTAAGCATGGCAACATTTTCAAAACGGGGGTTCCAGAAAGAGAACTGAGAAAGGAGCAGAAAAAATACTCAAAGAAGTAACTGAAAATTTCCCACGGTGAAGGAAAAATATTCAGTCATTTATCAACTGAGTCAACTCTAAATAGAGTAAACACAAAGAAATCCCTATCTAGACAACTCATACAAAAAAAAAAAAAAAAATGCTGAAGGCTACAGGAAAAAAAAATCTTGGAAACATCAAAAGAAAAATGCTTTATCATTAACAAGAGAAGTCCAGTGAGATTAACAATTGATTTTTAGAATAATGAAGGCCAGAAGGCATGGGGTAGTATAGAACCTATTGAAAAAAAAGATGTGTCAAAGATTTTAAGTCCAGCAAAATTAACATTTGATAAATGATAGCAAAATGAAGATTGACTGTGAACAGAAACCTAAAGAATTCTTTGCTATCCATTGATCCTACCAAAAAAAAAAAAACCCTAAATATGTTCAAGCATAAATAAAATAAAATAACCACAGACTTTTAATTCAAATCCACTTG